TGGAGTTGTAGATCTGCCATTTGGGTGTTGGGACTTGACCCCTGTCTTCCGAAAGAACAGCCAGTGCTCCCAACTGCTGGGTCATCTCTCCAGCCTCATTCTTTCTTAAATTCATAATTTATTCAATGCCACCAATGCCTACTGCAAAACCAGTTACTTCTCCTCTGTGCCCTTCCTCAGTCCTCATACCCCCTGCTGTGTAGACATCATAATTGTCACACCTCACTGCTGTATGGATGTCACTTTCCCACTTCATGTCCCAGGAGCAATTATGTATGGTAAGATGCTCTCATAGGATCTTTGGGATCTGCCTAGATTCAACTTGAAAGCCAGAAATGGGTCTTGTGCCTGGACAGTGTGGCTGATGGTGGGTGGAGTCCCTGCTCTTGGCTCCATGCTGCTAAGGAGTTCTCCCCAGTGGAGGTGGAGACGACTATTTTGTTGTGTCTCCCATTGTTCCTTGGGTGCATCCTTAATGTGAAGGTACCTGTTGGCCTGGGTTGTTCAGGGCCTACCCAGCTCCCTTTACCTCACGGTTTTGCTGAATACTTTTTTCCCTGTCCTCTTCATTGTCTTTTGTTGGCATTATTCACTCTCTTCCCTGCTCTTCCTTTTTTTGTTTGTTGTTTTTTATGGAAAACTTAAGAAAATGCTTATGTGTTACCACTGGTGTGGTTCTGTCCCCACGTGGAATGTTTGGGAGACATTTGCTTAGCATTTTAAAGGGCACAGTGAGAAACTGAACTTTAATGGTAAACATTCTGGACGTACGAAAACGTCTTCCAAAGAATACCTGTGGTTTACTTAAAGATAAAGCTAAAAGAAATAATGTGATGCCAAATTTGGCTTTGAATTACAGGTTTAGAAGAATGGTAAGTGTAAAGAATCCTGGATTTGTTAGGCTTGTCTACAATTTTGTATCTGTTCATGCATATTTATTAGGTTGAAATGAGTGTAGTTTTTCCAGTTGTTTGGAAAGCAACTACCATCTACCTGTACCAAATACTGATTTGTCTCAACTGTGTATTAAATTGGAAAAACAAAGCTGGAAAGGCACAGGGCAGCAGAGAGGGTTGCTAAATAAATGCATCATTTGGTTTTTGTCTTGAAACCCTCCTAGACTTGCACCAGACGGAAATGGTAATACCCACTCCAGAGTTCCCACACTGTCGGCATGAACAGACTGAAACACAACTGTCGCTTTATAGGCCCTGCCTGACTGTTTCAGAGTAGTGCAGCCCCTTCGGCACACTGAGTAGTGCTCATTTTGTGGTGTTACCAGGAACCAGAATAGGAGTGCTGGAGAGACTGTCCCACACATGCACTTCTCTATTTATGGCCTGTGACTGTAGTGGGATTAGCTGACTAGTTAAAAGATTTTCCTGCTCATTAGAATAGAGGGGTGTAGCAAAACTAGTCACACTTTTACAATTAAGGACTTCAATATGCATCATCTGATTTATTCTCCTAAAATCTAGCCCAGCATAGTGGGCATGCCTGTAATCCTAGTACTTGGGAAGCAGAGGTAGGTGAATATCTGTGAGTTCAAAGTCAGCCTGGTCACAACTCAGAGCTATATTAAGCAGAGACCCTGTCCCAAAGAAAAAAAGTTCATTTATTCTGTTTTATTCTGTTTCTGTTTTCAACTTAACATGGTTTCTCTTTGAAAAAATTAATTTTCCTTAAAAAGTCAAAATTACTGTTCTCAAAATAATCAGCTTATTAACCATTTCCCATGAGTGTCTGTTTCAATGTCTTTTTCTTGAACTGTTTATCTATCCTCCTCTGCTTCCTACACCTCCTCACAGTGCAGACTGTATTTCCTGCCTCCTCCTCACAGTGCAGACTGTATTTCCTGCCTCCTCCTCACATGCAGACTGTATTTCCTGCCTCCTCCTCACATGCAGACTGTATTTCCTGCCCCCTCCTCACATGCAGACTGTATTTCCTGCCCCCTCCCCACAGTGCAGACTGTATTTCCTGCCCCCTCCCCACAGTGCAGACTGTATTTCCTGCCCCCTCCTCACATGCAGACTGTATTTCCTGCCCCCTCCCCACAGTGCAGACTGTATTTCCTGCCCCCTCCTCACCTGTAGACTGCATTTCCTGCCCCCTCCTCACCTGTAGACTGCATTTCCTGTCCCTTCCTCACATGCAGACTGTATTTCCTGCCCCCTCCCCACATGCAGACTGTATTTACTGTCCCCTCCCCACAGTGCAAACTGTATTTCCTGCTCCATCCCCACATGCAGACTGTATTTCCTGCCCCCTCCTCACAGTGCAGACTGTGTTTACTGTCCCCTCCCCACAGTGCAGACTGTATTTCCTGCCCCCTCCCCACAGTGCAAACTGTATTTCCTGCTCCCTCCCCACATGCAGACTGTATTTCCTGCCCCCTCCCCACAGTGCAGACTGTATTTCCTCCCCCCCCCCCCAGTGCAGACTGTTTTTGGAGTGTGTAGTTTTGCCCTCAGATATGGCACTTCTTCCCTTCTAAGTGTAAAACTTAAATGTTTTAGGCAAAAACCTCATTTTCATGGTGTTTTTGGATTAATAGCTAGGGCAATTCTCTCCCTTTTCTCTCCCTAGCTCCCCCTTTCCCTGTCTCCCTCTCCCTCCCTCCCCTCTCTAATTTCCCCAGTCTTGGAAGATTTTAGCTGCATATGAGATCTGTCCTGTCACTCTAGCTGGAGAGCTATGTGTCATCTAGTTCTCTCCCTCATTTTCACACTATTCTTCTACCTATATATCTCTATCTAGTTGTTATATATCTACAGTACTATACATTGTATCAGTTGTGGGAGAAGAAACATTGTATTTTTTGTTTGTTTGCTTTTTGAGATGTCTCCATATGTTACCGTGTTAGAGCGGGCTTGCTTCAAACACACACAGATCTGCTGGCCTCTGCCTCTGTCAGAGTGCTGAAATTAAAGGTGTAAACCATCACACCTGGCTCTAAACAATCATTTTATAATAAGATAAAAAAAAAACGTTTCTGGAATACTCCTGAGATAATCAGGGTTTTCTTTGTTTTGAGGGTTAGAAATAATATTGTGTATATGTGTGTGTCTGTGTGTCTGTGTGTGTGTGTCTGTGTCTGTGTGTCTCCACCTTTCTAAATATAAAATTGCAGACTTTGACAAATGTCTATAATGAGATACAGACACAAATGTATATGATTAGAAATTGTGTTGTGTTTTTAAATCGCCTCCTGCTGTCACCATTAGGCTGGCAGCCTTGATCTTTATGCTATGCTTGGAATTGTACACCTTTTGCACCTGACTGTTTAGTGTCAGCCTATGCATTCTCATCGTGGCCAGTACTCCAGAGTGCAGTTGCACCCCAGCCTATTCCTCCACCCGCCAGGTAAAGGAGCTTGGGGCTGCTTCCAGATTCTAGTCTGCACCAAAGCTGCCATCCTCTCTTGCATTTGCATGCTTTGGTGCTTTGAATGAGAAATGTCCTGCTTAGGCTTAGACATTTGACCACTTGATCACCAGTTGGGGATGAGGTGTGTCACTGGAGGGCTTTGAGACTAAAAAGGCTCACTTAGCTCCCATGAGCTCTCTTCGTTTCTGTTAAAGTATGTGAGCTCACAGCTTCTTGTGGCAGCCTCCATAGCCTCCTCTTGCTGCCACTCCGCACTGTAAACCAAAACAAACTCTTCTTTGTTTATACTGTTTTATCACAGTAGCAGAAAAGAAATTAATATCTTCTACATGTCTGACTATAAACTTTCACTTCACATAGGGTTAATACCTTCCTTGTTTACTTAGCTTGTTCAATAAACTCCAAAACTTTGTAAAGAAACTTTTTTTTTGGTTTTTACGAGACAGGGTTTCTCTGTATTGTTTTGGAGGATGTCGGTCCAGCCTGGCCTCGAACTCACAGAGATTCGCCTGCCTCTGCCTCCCGAGTGCTGGGATTAAAGGCGTGCACCACCACCGCCCGGCTGTAAAGAAACTTTTAAAACTAAATGCCAAGTAGCTTTACAAAGAATGGCCTCTGCACTGTTAGTTTTGATTGCCAGGTTTCCTTGGTTTTCCCAGGTTCTTCAGCTCTAACTCACATAATCACCCCCACCCTTTCCTTGTTTATTTTTTAAATTCTATTCTTTTGGGCAATATAGTAAATATGTGCTAAAAACTCAGCCCCTTTCTATGAATGCTTAATGGGCACTGAAAGAGAGCAGCGTGCGATTCCCTTGTCTGTGAGCAGATGCTCATGAATGGAAGGTGGGAGCAGTAGGCTGAGCCCCTGGCTTCTTAAACCTGGGTATGTTCTAGGTTTTGATTTAAAATACTTGGAATTTTCCAGAAGCTAACTGCTTCCTTGGTTCTTCCTAGGGGGTTGAGTTTCTGATTCCTGTTAACCCCTACTTGCCTGTTCCGGGGTCTCTGAATTGACTTACTGTGTTCCTTTAAAAAAGGACTGCGCTTCCTAAATATTGGCATTCTGTTTGGAGACTGGACATTTAGAAATGTGTTTACTCATAATTAAACTGTTTCAGATTTTGTAATGATGAAAGGTTTGGTTTTAAGTTCTTTAAGATTAGTAGAAAAAGCTAGAAACAGAATGTACTGTTTTTGAACAGTAAGAGAAAATATGTATCAAAAATCTTCATTTTTTTTCTTAAGGAGTTAAGAAACACAGTTCCCACAATTTAAAGTAAATTAAACCTCCCCGCTCCTACCCCAGTTGAGGCCTGGGGTAGTTAGTCTTTTACCAGTGAGCTAAATCCTTAACTCTGAACTAAGTTTTTATAATGACAGTTTTACTTAAAACTTAAGTTTTTATGTTTAGTCATTTTCTTGAAGCTACAAATTTCATGTAAACATTTTGTCCACAGACAAAGAGTTTTGTGATGCATAAGTTAGTCTGGAAAACTGTTAAGAACTTAGGATCAGGGTCTTTACTCCAGTTACCCAGAGTAGTTTTAGGCAAAAGTTTGATTCATCTTCTTCTTATTTTTAATTTTGCCCTAAAAAAGTTTATCTTCAGTGTTCGCTATGGCAACACATACATTAAAACTGAAACAGTACAGAGGAGATTAGCATGGCCCCTGCACAAGGATGATACTCAAATTCATGAAGCATTCCATGCTTTTGTAAAAAATGTTAATCTTATTACTTAAATGATGTGTTTGGCCAGAGTGCACATTGGGATAGTACTCCACAAATAATATTTTAACTGGCAGAGATATTTAATCCTCTGTTCAGATGGAAGGGGAATTAAAACAAAACCAAGAATCTGGCTTTCCAGGTGCATGGCTAGGGATGCTCTGGGGGAAGGACCAGGATCATCAAGGCTTCCAGGGGCCTCTTAAAGATGTGCTATGAACTGCCCTTAAATGCAAGGGTTCTGTTTGCACTACTAATTAAATTCACACTGAAAACTGGTAGGGCAACTTGCTATTTGTGTGTTTTGTCTTGGGACTTTAGTAGCTTGAAAGGTGAGATGAAGGGATAAATAGTGAATTTTTAGTAAATTGTACCAGAAAAACGTGTGCCAACTTCTTGAATAATAACCAATTTGTCTGAAGACCAGTGGCTGTGAGCACACAGCTAAGCTTGCTCTTTGCCACAGTTTGAACTCAGGTGCCATGCTTTACTCCTTGGTCCTAAGCTGACTTTGGAGACATTAAACATGTACTAAGATTTGTTTGATGATCCTAGATGGATCAGTTTACGTAGAGTGGGCTGCTACTGTGTAATATGTAGTAGGTTCCTCCACAGTCCCATCTTGAGGTGGGGGCATTGATTTGTGATAGGCCCTGTCACCATTTCTGCCATTGTTTTGTCATTGTCTTGATATTGTCAAAAGACAATGACACCTTTAATTTTGATAAAGTTCAAGTTGTCCTCGATGTTACTTTTAGTGCCATGCCGGAGGTGGCAAAAGCTCAGCTGTACCCGCTTGTGAGAGTTCCTGTGGTTTCAGTCCCGAAAGTAGGTATTTCTGTACTTGGTTCACTTCTATTCTTTTCCATGTGACTGTTGAATGGACCATCGTATTGGCATGGTTGAAAATCATTTGACCACAGGGATCCAGGCTTGCTTTTGGTCTGTATTTCAGTAAAACTATTTTGATTGTGGTATCTTGCTACAATTGTAAGGTTGAAGAGTGCAAGTCTTTCAGCATTGCTCCTTTACACTCTGATTATTTTGGGCTCTGCCATCTCCACATGAATGAGGATTCTTTCTCCATTTCTATACAGAAGACCATTGTAGTTTTCATAGGTGCTACATTGGCTGTCTGGTTGATTTTGGGTATTTGCCATTTTAACAATGTCCTGCTGTTTCCCCTTTGCAGTCTTTGGTTTCTTCAGCCGTGGGCTGTGGTTTTCAGTGCATGGTCCTCACCTTGACTATTAGTGCTGAGTATTGTAGCCTAATAGATTGTTCATTGCTATCAAATAGAAGCACAACTGAATTTTCTATGTATTTTTTTGTACACTGGCAGAAGAGGTCATTTAAAATATATTTTAAAAGAATAGAATTTGGTAGCAGAAATGCAAGGCATGCATGTTTCCAGCAGAGGATGCTCATTTAGTTTTCTTTCTACCTTCACCACCTTCAGCAGAAGAGAAATCACAAGCTCTCAGAAAGAATGGAAAGTGCTGTTTCCTAGAGAAAGCCCTAGAGAAGTCCAAAGTGCCAGCAGTGGCCAAGGGAAGATGGCTGTAGGCCACACCAGCAATGCTCCTGGTTTAGTGGACACAGCTAGCATTTGTACTGGCTCCATTCGATGCTTCACAGTGCAGCGATGGGTTGTGAATCCTAAAGCTTTGCAAGGTACTATGATAAGACCCTTGTGTACCCTTTCCAGGCGAAGTAGGCAACTGATAGGGAAGCTTGTGTTCTTAAGTGTTTCTGCTGGATTTAAAATTGATGACTGGCTTGCTTTTTAGGAAGAAAGGTATTTGCTTACAGCAATAAAACACATCTTTCACATGTAATGTTCAAAAATTTCTAGGCATTATCCTTTCTCTGCTTCAAGTTTAAGTCTGGACAGGGGTTTCTATGCAATTTGTAGTTTGTAAGTGGTATTTTCTTGAAAGGTCTGGGGTCTTCTAACCCTGGGGCAGGTAGATGTTCTAACTTAGGTTCCATGTAAAAATATCAGACTCTTACGAGGTGGTTTCACTTAGGCTTCATGTATGTATGGCCACTTCTCTTTACTCACAGAGGGAAGCAACAGCACCAGACGGAGTTAGAAGCCTAGTAGAATCATGAGGGAATCACTCAGAGTCAAGATGTCAGGCATTAGGTCCCACTGTTTTCACTGTTGAACGTGCCCACTGTCAGTGGCAGTTTTCCTGTTGAACTTTGGCATGGCTTGGGGAGATTTCTTTTCTTTTTTTCTTTTTCTTTCTTTCTTTCTTTCTTTCTTTCTTTCTTTCTTTCTTTCTTTCTTTCTTTCTTTCTTTCTTTCTTTCTTTCTTTCTTTTTTTTTTTTTGGTTTTATGAGACAGGGTTTCTCTGTATTGTTTTGGAGGCTGTCGGTCCCGCCCGGCCCGGAACTCACAGAGATCTGCCTGCCTCTGCCTCCTGAGTGCTGGGATTAAAGGCGCGTGCCACCACCACCCGGCTAGGGGAGATTTCTTAAGCTGAGGACTTCGGGCAGTATTTTGGAGTTAGAATATGGCAGGAAATGAATCAGTCTCTAGTGGAATAAAGATTTCATGGTGATAATTTTTTGGTTTGTTCTCCCCCTCCCCCTTTATCTTACTTATTGCATGGCCCCCAGGACCCAGAATAGTGTTTGGCATGTAGTAGAGCCTCAGTAAATAGATAGGTGTTGAAAGTGCTTTTGAAAACTCCATCTTTGGTTTATGTTTAAAGTTATCCACCCCACCTTAGCTGGGTGACTGCGGCACATGCCTTTAATCCCAGCACCCGGGAGGCAGAGATAGACAAATTTCTGTGAGTTCCAGGCCTACAGAGTGATTTCTAGAACAGCCAAGACTGTTTCACAGAGAAACCCTGTCTCAATCCCCCGCAAAGTTATCCTCCCTTTAGAGAATTGCTTGTGTGGTGTTACTAGTGTAGGTCAGCATATGTCTTCTTGTTTCCAACATTTTTAAATGTTCTTCATATTGATCATGACTGATTTGGCCATGTGCCATACATACAGTTGACATAGTAATAAAGATATAAGTACATTACTAGCTCAATCAGCATTCACCTCCCAATATATAATAGCTTAATTTTGTTAGATTTGCATGTACAATTTTATATACAGTGTGCTAAGTGCCACAGTGTATGGATTAGACATTTGACAAGCAAGCATTTGAGGACCAACATGTGTGCCAAACACCTTTAATTACAGCAGTCTTTGATCACCTTGATTTGTCCCACAAATAAATTCATTATATCGGAAGTGTTCAAACTTGTGAGAACTATCATCCACTCTTCCAGAGTATGTATCTTTTACCCTGAAGCAGACTGCTGTGATTTTCTCTTAGAAGTTTACATTTATTTACTTCTGTGTGTGTGCGCATACATATGTGCATAAGCATAGACATGCCACTTTGCTTGTGTTGTGGTCAGAGCATAACTTGTAGCAATCAGTTCCCTCCTTCCATCATGGTCTCATGGATAAAACTCATGTCATCAGGAGGAGCCATCATTAATCCTGAGACATCTCAGCGGTACAAGTTCTATTCCTTTTAAAGGTTGCGGTTATGTAAACATATTCTTCATAGGACACCTTAGATGAACCTTGTTTTCATTACCCTTAGCATTGAACTCTTCACAAATACCTAAAAGATGTAAATATTTTCCTGAGAAACACCATTGTCTAGATTTGTATTTGAAGATTAGGAACACAGTGTTAAATTTCCTTCCTTTCCAGAAAAGTGATGTGTATTTTTGTATTGCTGGTGGTCCTTTGGTGATTTTCTTTTCAACAATTTGAGCTTCATCTTCCTCATTTAAAAATGAAAGCATTTGTACTCACCCCATGATGAAGCGAAGTACTGCTGTAAGTACCTAGTACTCTGGAATATAGATGTTTAAAAATGTTTATTAAATTAAAAGGGTATCAAGCCACACCAGAGTAGTAATGATTATTTCAAAGAATTGCTTTGAGTATTCTGCTAAAAAATAGATTATTAGGTTAATTGGATCACATGCATGGAGAGATCCTTGTGACACTCTGAGAACTTAAAGGATGCAATTACAAAAGAATGCATTCGTTGTGATGTGTGTGTATGTTTGTGTTTGAGAGGTGCTTGTGCTCATGTGCAAACTGCGAATGGAGGCCAGAGGCCACCTCAGCCATTGTTCCTTGGGGTTATTCACATGTTTTGAGCAGAATCTCTCACTGGTTTGGAATGGGCTGATTAGGCAAGTCTGGCTGCCAGAAAGTCCCAGGAATCCTGGGTTTTTGTTTGTTTTTTGGTTTTACGAGACAGGGTTTCTCTGTATTGTTTTGGATGCTGTCAGTCCAGCCTGGCCTCGAACTCACAGAGATCCGCCTGCCTCTGCCTCCCGAGTGCTGGGATTAAAGGCGTGCGCCACCACCCCCGGTGTTTTTGCTTTTCTTCTTTCTTCTTTCCCTCCCTCCCTCCCTCCCTCCCTCCCTCCCTCCCTCCCTCCCTCCCTCCCTTCCCCCTCCTATTTTGATTTGATTTGATTTTTAGTATTTCTCTGTAGCCTCCTTGGCTGTCCTGGAATTCGCTCTATTGATTGTATTTTTAACTGACTTGGGTTTGCCTACAAGGCAGGCAGGTACCCTGAGCCATCTTCCTAGCCTAGAAATTACTTTTTTTTTTTTGATGAAAGCCAAACATTGATTAAATAAGAAGTTGCAATATGCAAGATACAAACTAGAAAATAAATGGACCAAAATCAAGTCACTTCAGTGAGTCCTTTGGAAAAAATAAACCCAGAGGAAGGAAGGGTCGGTCACTGGTGGTCTTTTGACCTGGCTGGTCCTCACCTGAAAGTTATGTCCACTCAGGTATGAAAAGTTGTCTAAATTTCCTTTTATACTAATAGCAGAAAAATGTTGAAAATATTCTGTTCTGAATGTCCTGGCTTAACTAGCTGAACTGGTGGATGGATGTCCAGCCTATCCCTTCTATAAGAGCTGTGCTCATAG